GCACATTGCCACTACCATCTCAAATGATTTATTTTATTCTATGTTAGAATGAGTGTGTTGCTTTTTTTGCGTGTGTTGCAGTTTTATTGATATATGTACACGTGTTATGAATTATTATTGAGGCGACTTTGATTATTTATTTAGCTGACTCTGTATTTTTTGCATTACACATTGTGTAAACAATCCCCCACTGTAATGCCAAGTGGCACTGTGAATAATGTAATAAATAAATAAAGTGTCAAAAGATAAGCAACACATTTACACAATAAATGTATCTCTTCGGGAAAAGTGGACTAACAGTGACATAGGCGCCCACCAAAATCTTTAAATAGGTTGCCATGCTACATTTTAGCACTAATTTCTTGAGGACAACTCAGGATTTAATTAGAATATTTTGAACAAGAATGTTGAGAGGTTACGTACAACATTTGTTTTGGAGACGATGGTGACTGCATGCAGGCCTTTCAACACAGCAATATTTATAGATGTAGAATTATTTGTAGGGCGATAATTTCTGCCGGCGACACAAGCTGAATTCATCTAGATGGATCAACTGAATCGCTATAAATAAAGGTATCCATATATGGACATTCTGGAAGAAATCTACAGGGGATCAACTGCTACCATAGTGCTTCATAGAGAAAGCAACAGAATACCAATCAAGAAGGGTGTAAGGCAGGGGGACACAATTTCCCCAATGCTGTTTACCGCGTGCTTACAGGAGGTTTTCAGAAGCCTAGAATGGGAACAGTTAGGGATAAGAGTCAATGGAGAATACCTTAGTAACCTGCGCTTCGCCGATGACATTGCATTGCTGAGTAACTCGGGGGACGAATTGCAACTCATGATTACGGAGTTAGACAAGGAGAGCAGAAAAGTGGGTCTTAAAATTAATCTGCAGAAAACGAAAGTAATGTACAACAACCTCGGCAAAGAGCAGCGCTTCGAGATAGGTAATAGTGCACTTGAAGTTGTAAAAGACTATGTCTACTTAGGGCAGGTAATAACCGCAGAGCCGAACCATGAGATTGAAGTAACTAGAAGAATAGGAATGGGGTGGAGCACATTCGGCAAGCACTCTCAAATTATGACAGGTAGATTGCCACTATCCCTCAAGAGGAAGGTATATAACAGCTGTATCTTGCCGGTACTTAGCTACGGAGCAGAAACCTGGAGACTTACAAAGAGGGTTTAGCTTAAATTGAGGGCGACGCAGCGAGCAATGGAAAGAAAAATGGTAGGTGTAACCTTAAGAGACAAGAAGAGAGCAGAGTGGATTAGGGAACAAACGGGGGTTAAGGATATCATAGCTGAAATCAAGAAGAAGAAATGGACATGGGCAGGGCATGTAGCGCGTAGACAGGATAACCGCTGGTCATTAAGGGTAACTGACTGGATTCCCAGAGAAGGGAAGCGGGTTAGGGGGAGACAGAAGGTTAGGTGGGCAGATGAGATTAAGAAGTTTGCGGGTATAAATTGGAAGCAGCAAGCACAGGACCGGGTTAACTGGCGGAACATGGGAGAGGCCTTTGTCCTGCAGTGGACGTAGTCAGGCTGATGATGATGATGATGATATGGACATGTTTAACCTGATATGAATGCTTCTTTATATAGCAGTGTATTGATGATTGGCATATGTGGCCATATACAGAAACCTCCATATATGGGTACACAAGGGAATTGGCATACCTGGTTGTATAAGGCCCATATATGGTTATCAGAAATTGGGCCTATAAGGTTTTATAAGGCTCATATATGGGGATTACATTTAAAGCCTGATATGCCCAATTCTTATTATAGCCATATAAGGTGATTTTTATATAGGTCCATTTACAGAATTTTTGTAAGGGGCAATATCTGAGTTAAGGGAAAACTGTTTTTCAGAAAAAATCTGAAAAGCATGTACATTATTTCCTTTGCTGCTTCCGATTTAGCACTTGCACTGGAAGACTGATCAGTCGGTGAATGCTCAGGAATTATAAAATCCCCATCTATAACCTAATAGTCAGTATGGACAGTCTCTAGTTTTTTTGAAAAACAGGTCACAATTGCCGAACTTTCAGGAGGCTTATAAAATGAGCAGACTGATAATGTTTCTTTTTCATTTCGCAATGTACTCGTGCACCATACATCCTTGCAAGTGCCGCCACCGAGATTAAGTACTGAACAAGAAAGCTAACTATGAATAAGTATAAAGACCCCTGGACCATAACGATCTCTATCGTTCCTATAGCAGGTCTAACAGCTTGGAAAAACCTCGGTGTCTCTCACCTCAGCAGTCCAGCGATGATAAAGTTCGAAGCACAATGCTTGATTTTACCATCCATAACATGGTATTGAAATCCTCCACCTCGTTTTTGATGCTACGGTAATTTAAAACCACAATAGCTACTTCAGCTATAGATCTGCGCATGCGTCATGTAGTTTTCACAACCTGGGCACGACGCTCATCGTACACGAGCATTTGGTCAATAAAAAGTTTATCATAGTTCAGATTTGCACGAGCACCTTCAGAAACAAGTGTTTGGCCGAGTTTATAAAAAAAACTTCCCTTCCTGTGCACTGCCCCTCAGAAATCTTACGATATACTAATACCCAAGCCTTTTAGCTTCTTAGCGTTGGCTGAGACTGCCAATTTGTGTTTGCACAATGATTATTGATTGATATGTGGGGTTTGACGTCCCGAAACCACGATATAATTATGAGAGACGCCGTAGTGGAGGGCTCGGGAAATTTCGACCACCTGGGTTCTTTGTTTGCACAATGACAGCATTGCAATAGGTAGTAGAGGCTTGTTATTGTGGTAATGTCCAAGCCTGTGTGCCCGTTAAATCCTCACTGGCACTGATAGTCTTATTCCAGAATACGACTTCTTGTACTTTCTTTCTCTGAAGCAGTGAGCAGTGCTGAACTTTCACTCTCAGCGACACCATAAAATATCAAGTTCAATCGTCTGCTCTGGTTTTCAAAATCATCCACTTTAGCGGATTAGTCGTTTACGATACTTGGCGTATATTGAATTTTTTTTTACATTCTGTCACAATTTCTTTGAAGTGTGCAAACTACGCTATTGCGCCCTCCGCTGAATCCATTCGTGACTTTAGTTCTTGTATAGCTGTGTTACTTTGATTCTGGGACGTTCAGGAAATTGCCCATATTCTTTGCTAGGACCGCTCTCATTCCTGCTTCACATCAATGACCTCATTTCACACGCTCCTGTGAAAATATGCTTTATCTCAGATAACTACTTCTTTCATATTTCTGTTAAATCTCCTCTGGATCATAAAATTCAAAACAATTTTTTTCGACATTTCTGTAGCTGTACATACTGACTTTTCCAGATGGTCAGTGTGTGATTCACCAGGCGTTTGTATTGCGTGGCTTTTTACTACGAACAGTGTTAGTTTGTACAGAGTGCCCGAATTCGTATATTTAGCATTTTTGTGATACAGTTTATTATGATCTAAACATATTATTCTCACATGCAACAACGCCCTTAAGAGTTTAGGTTATTGACTCTTTACACTCCATCTTGGTCCTTATCACACCAAGCTGCTCACCTACAAAACTCCTTTCGTCCAATTATCGAATATGGTTGCGTGGTATGAAACTCCCGTAGCAGAAAAATTGTGGTATCAAGAAATTGTATTCTGTTCAGAAGATAGCAGCGGGCTTTGTACTAAGAGAGCGAAAAAATCTGCCTGATTCGTTCAATTTTTCTCGCTTCAGCACTCCGAAAACTTGTCCGAAATTTTGATAAATTTTTCTACTAAAAGTGACAATGCCCTCAACATATCAGCTTTTTTCACCCACACTTGCAAGTTCAAATATAGCTTTTTCCTTCACTATAGAAAACCTTGAAGTGTTCGTTCACTAACACTTCAATGATTTCTGAAGCCAGCTTAGGAATGTTGATTTGTTGTTGTTTTCTTCTTTTGTCACTCCTGCAAAAGCCTCATTGAGACTGCAGTACGAAAAATTAAGTAACACACAAAGCTAAATAAAGTAATTGATTTCGTGGTTTAGGAACATTCAACCCCATATATTATTATTACACGAGAGTGCTTCTGCAGCACGATTTATAGCGGAGTGCCTGCTATGTCTTATGTGGGTGGGCACCACTCCTGTATCTTGATGCCAATAGATGACAAAAGTTCAGAATGATAAAAGCGCAGCAGAAGGTGCTTTTGTTTCGCGTCACCATAAATCTGAGTGGCCCTTAGCGCGTGCTACGCAAATACCTAGCCAACACGCCCTTGCTGTGTTCCCTGCTTCATCGTTAGATTGACTATAAAGACAGTTCACTCTCGGCAACGTACATTGGAAAAATAGGAGTAGTACTTGTAGCTTTTTTGCATCATTTAGCAATTTGGCGCCTAAAAAGACCTATGAGCAGCACTTTCATGGAGGTGGACACGATGGATGTGTGATGTAGGTGCTGCTTTATTTTGTTCGCCTTCTAAAGCAACGAAAGTAGTGAGCAGACGCGAATAAAGCCTTTCTTACTAAGGCCATGCTCAAAAGACAAACATAGTAACATAAGCTGTAAACTAAGATGCTACAAATTGAGATCATGCCATACAAAGCCTTCCTCAATAGGATCACACGAAATACCTCGATGTTAATTAGAACCACATTGATTAAAATCGCTCTTATAATCTACATCTGTCACAAGCTTTCCCGTTAGTGTAACAAAGCACCACTCTTGCAAGCATTCCACAATTTAAGGAAGAAAAATTTTATTACAGAGGTGTGCAAAACGCACTTGGCAGATGGAAAGTTATATGAAAAGGGGCCCTATAGCTGCAGTATTTAAAGAACTCATGCCAAAAACGCAGGAAATTACCTATGCAATATTAGAGCAACAATCATGTAATACTCGAAATTGATAGATTTCAAAGACAAAAATATCGAGGTTGATAATATATACGACGCTGAGCTCTAACCTAATGTATGCAGTGACTGATTTTGATGGGGCGTGAGCACCACCATCAGCATACCTGTACCAGCGGCGGAAAATTATAACCACTGTTGCCTTTCCACTTCGCACATTTTTGATTCCGCTAATGATGTAGAAGAACAGGTAGCCACTGCAAAAAGAGAAACAGTCTGGTTTAGTTTTTCGGTGATGTTCAAAAATTACATAAAAAGTGAATAGCTCAAGAGAATCATGTCCAAAAACGACGTTGGAAGCTCAAAATCGGTTTTCCGATAGTTACGCCCGACCGTCTAACTAAATGTAGAGCAACAGTTCATTGTAACAATATATGTATAAGACTCTGATATCATGGCAGTCACCCGTAACTCGGATAGGGAACTCTCTAAAGAGTATACAGGGTGCCCAGCTTTTTTAGCCATAGTTTAAAAATACGCAATACACACAATTACGGCGAGACCAAATGCATGTTGCTGACCGTAGTCTAAAGTGGACCGGACTATTTTTTGTGCTCTGATCAATTTTTTATTTAGACCCTTTTAGTTACCATTTAAAAGAACAAAAATGGGTAGCAAATTTTAATGAGAGAGTTGTAGATCGGTTTGACAAACGTCCGATTAGAGAGTTTTGTCCTCTATATCTGTTAATTATCAGTGTTTTTTCTGCTAACTTGAGAAGCTCGTGAACTACAAAAAATCACAGCTTTGTCGCAAAGGCAAAGCGATGAGTGCGATATCAACAAATTGGAAGGCCGCGTGCAGAATGGCTAGTAGATTGATATACGCTCCGCATTTCTCACGCACAAATGACGCCTTAAACGTACTCTCAGATACAGATGAACCCGAATAAGCGTCTCATTCGTTACATTACTGTGTCTGAAATATGCCTCTTTTCGCAAACGTAGACTGTGCACAAATTGCAGGAATCTTTGAGCGCCCGGTAACTAAAACAGAAGTATTCCGGTAAAAGCCGAATACCAGTCAAAACATACGATTCTCCCAACCGCGAGCTAGGAACACGTGAGTGACTGTCGACCTCTGCTCTTTTTGGGGCAAAGTGCGCGTGGTAGATTAGAGTGCAGCCGACGCGTCGTGACGAAGTTGTTACGCAAACTCATTGTGCCATCTTGCTAGTAATGCTGAAAACACAACAGCCCCCCCTCCTGAGATGCCCGTCAGCAGCAGTAAGTTCTAGATATAAATAACTTGTCCGATGAACGTTGAAGAACAGTCTCGTTGGTGGCTCAGGGGTTAACTCTTCGCGCTCACGATTCATATATATATAAACGTGGACATAAACGGTGAGTGACGGCGACGCTGACGCCATGGGCAAAATCTAGCCGAGAGTTTCCATATAATTGTTATCACAATAAAACATACCACATGGCGAACCTAATGGAATGTCCACGCGCGCCGTGATTCTGGTGCTGCCTAACGTTCCGCGTACGAACGATACACTTCTTTCGCACCGGTTTATGACAGTGGTAAGTATAGTCGCAGCAGTTATCGCTTTTGTGGCTGATAGCGAGACGTGTTCATTGCAAAGTCACCACCATCTTTGCGGCCTCGTCGAGACAGCACAATCGAGCGAATGCTATGGACGCTCGTACATGGAATGTAAGGGAGCACTAAAGTGATCGTGCACCCTGGCACGCGAGCAGGCTTCTGACGTGATATTTCTTTTTAATTTCAGGGGCCATTTTAGTTTGTAGGAAAACAGTAATCATTGACACACATAAAGTTGAAAACTGTCTAATTGAACGGTTTGCAAGCCGATGAACAACATTCTCGTTAGAATATCCGGCACATTTTCTTGCTTATAAAGTTTGTTATTGCATTGACCTAACTCAGCAAATTATCAGAACACCAAGTATAGTCTGACTCACGTCAGGCAACAGTCTGCAACTTGCAATTGATTGCATCGTCATTACGTCTGGCAGCATAGTTTTAAACTCTGGCTAAAGATAGATGGAGAACCCTGCATAAAAGGAACGACGCTTTCATAAATCTTGGTTATCATCAGTATACGACCCTAATTTTCGTGAAGCATAAGTTTCCTTGCTGTTCATCTCTTTACGGGCAATCTTTGCATGAATTGGTGGTGAAGGCCACCTTTGGCTCTTTAGAAACCACAGTATTTGGATATTCAACTGAACTAGTTTCCCGTTTTACTGTTGTGCTTCAATGTGATGGCCTTGCCAACAAATTAGGAAAAAATGGGTAAAATAATATTAAAAAAACAATCATATCAACATGACGCATGTCGCGTTTTATTCGTTATTCGTTCAATAACGCATAGTTATTGATTCTCTTGTAACGATTGGGCACTAATTATGCAGCAAAGATACGAATGAGTATGTGTATTGTCGATTGGTATTACCACTACTAAACCCAATAGAAAGCGGGTGCGAAGCCCTCCAAATTTCAGCGTTGCCAAACGGTTACAATCCATATTTTCATGCCATCTGATCGCGTTGCCACACAACATTGAGACGCGAGTTTCCATTGGCGTTTCGTCTGCTCGTCGCGCACGTGTTCGCCGCCCCCATAGCAGTCACCGCCGTCATCAGCGTTCAGAAGCGACGACGAAAACAGTACCGAATATGGAACCGCGGCGATTTGCGGCGTCGTGAATTAATTTCGGTTCGATCATCTTTTGAGCAGGAATTTCAAAATCGACGCCAGACCGAGCAGCATCTAGGCAGCTGGATACGCACGCTTGGGCCACGCTGGCTGGTAATACATATGAACGCTGTGTGCCTGTTAATTCTTCGCGATGACAGTAGCTTCAAATAATCACATTCGTGCTCATGACTCTACCACACGATCGTTCGAAGCACCTCAAATAAAACGCTGAATTCACAGGAACGTGCTGCACGAAGCAAGTGAAGCCGTAGTTGCACTCCCAGCCGCAAAAAGCGAAAAGGGGTCTGTGGTTTGTACTTTCAAGGGGTAACTGAATTGCCGCAAAATTACTTTCAATAGAATGAACGATTCGTCCTTTCGGGACTCACTGTCAGGCGACGAATTGTTGTCGTTACTAGTTTAGAGGGACGAATGTTCAAGGAGTAAAAGGACCCCTTTATGCGAGGAAGTGACTGCTTATTGACGAACTGTTAGTCTCGTTAGGAGTAACACTTGCTCCCTCTAGGAAAATCAATTATTACAATTTTTGGTTAAATACGGAGAGCTTGGAGGTTGACGAATGCATTTGACGACAAATACGATCAACAAACAAGAAGTAAATTGAGAAGTAAACAGCAGAGAAATCTTGGGAAAACCACTGGACTCCAACTTTTGACCTATGAATAAGCAGTAGGTAGAATAAACACTACACCACACCCTATTTTTTTTTCTTTATTTCCTATGCCACATCCCAGTACATACCAGAGTGAAAATTACGGGGCATACGTAGGCACTATGGATGCTGCACGTTCTGCCATGTTGCTCAAACTAAAAAGATTCCTTATATTATAATTAGGCCTTCAATGTTTCGCAAGCCATCATTCGGAGATGACGTTCGTGAAAGTGTAAAACGCATTGAATAGTAAGTTTTGTGCGCGTACTTCAAGCGCATTTGCGTGTTTGATGAGTGGATGTTTATATAAGCGTTTGCGGATATGTTGCCATCGCTGTGTCAAGATTGTTCACTTCTCATAGTTCAGAGCGTGATTGGTTATGTCGTTCAGCGGAAATGTCTTTGTTATGACAAAAAATAAAAAACGTTTAAAAGAACAAACTAAATAAATTGTTCAGCGACTCGTATCAGTTCCGTACCATCCTGCGACACCCCAATTCAGCAATTTTTATGAGCACAAAAAACTAGATGGCTTCTCTGCGCTCTTGAAGAGACAATCAGGAGGCAATATTTTAACGGTATGAATGATGTCCAGCCTACTTCAGGAAGTGCACTCGCATCATAAACAGCTGCACTCCTGTCCGATAGGTTTACATTCGCAGTGTCACAGTGTATGTTGATAGGCGTGTTCTCGCTCGTATCGTAAGTGTCCTCGTGGGTGGACTTCCTGTAGTCATATGACAACGTCTGGTAGTATCGGACTGGGGACATTGTTCATGATCTCTTGTTATTTATTCGGTTCGAACACTTTTATTAGGGTGATTTCTTTATTTCATAAGCGGTGGTTGTCGCAGAGAATGGTGTTGGTCTTGATGGCAAGTTTTTTATTTGTTTGCCACTGTGGTTTTGATTTCACGATTTGATTTATATGTGGGATTTACTGTCCAAGGAGGAGGAGGAATAAACTTTATTATAAAAAACCAGCAGGTTAAGGTGGCCGGGCCTAGGCCTCCCATTAGGGGACGTTAAGGGCTTGCCTCAATTCCGCCTCAGGGGTGTGCTGTGTCGCCTTGGCTTGGTCGTCTAGAGCGAGGCTCCGCAGAGCCTCTTGGAGCTTCGACGAAAGGGTCGTGGCTTTAGTGTGTCTGTTCTGTGCCTGGCTCTCCCACAGCATGTGTAAAAGCGTAGCCGCTTGATTACCGCAGCACCGGCACTGGGAGGTTGTGAACACGTTCAGGAATATAAGGGGAAAGCGGGTAGGCGAGGATATTGATTGATTGATTGATTTGTGGGGTTTAACGTAACAAAACCACCATTTAATTAGGAGAGACGCCGTAGTGAAGGGCTCCGAAAATTTTGTCGTCTAGGGTTCTTTAACGTGCACCCAAATCTGAATACATGGGCTTACAACATTTCCGCCTCCATCGGAAATGCAGCCGCCGCAGCCGGGAATCGAACCCGTGACCTGTGGGTCAGCAGCCGAGTATTTAGCCACTAGACCACCGCGGCGCGGTGGGTAGGCGAGGGGAACACGTATCCCTCACCTGCCCGTTTACTATGCCGAAACCTCCATATTATTATGAGAGACGCCGTAGTGGAGGGCTCCGGAAATTTCGACCACCTGGGGTGCCTTAATGTACGCCCAAATATAAGCACACAGGCCTACAGTAATTTCACCTCCATCAAAATTGCAGCCGCCGCAGCTGGTATTCAATCCCATCACCTGCGGATCAGCAGCCGAGTACCTTAGCCACCACACTACGGTAACAGCGTTTTTATTGTGGTTGATCAATATTTCTGTCAATTTGAGTGATGCCCCTAGGAGGACGTTTTGACATGCTACTTGATTGCTTTCGT